CAATACCTATGGCGATTTTGAGATCAAAACTTAGGACAAACTTTTGGAAATGATATTAATGGTGCTGCTATATTTGCATACTTACTTTTGTATTCAGATCAGACCTGGGGTAATGGTAATGTGTAATGGCAATGCATTGTAATCATTACATTTTTTCAAAGTAATGTGATATTATGTGTAATGGATCCATCTTTCAATTACAAGTAATTGTAGTGTAGTGCATTACTTTAAAAAAAGGTCAGTAATGACAAATTACTTTTAAATTACATTTCTATTGCATTTTGTATATAAGTCTCATTTTATTTTTGATTCTGAATCAAATTAATATCACTGAGAGTTTTTAAGGTCTTCCGTTTCAGACGGAAGACCTTATAGTGATTCTACTGTTTTTTCTTATTATTATTATTCTTATTATTATTTTTTTCCCCAAATCTTGTCGGCAGGATTTCTCAGAGATGGCTGGACGGATTTTCCTGAAATTTTCAGGGATGATAGAGAAAAGAAATACCCCGAGACGTTTTTTTCATTTTTTCAAAATTCACTTCCGGTCGTCAGATATGTCCGATTTCCGCTTTTTTCAAAAATATTTAATCCGAGTGAGATCTCAGAAACGGTAAGAGATAAAGGCACCAAACTTACAGGGATGATAGATCTTGATAAGTAGGCAAATCCAATTGGGTTAAGATTGTCCGCCGTCACTTCCTGTCGTCACAGGAAGTGTTCCTAAATATCGAAAATTTCAACTTTTCTTTTTTGAAAGTTTTTTAGCATCAGATTATAGCATCTTACTCGTAGTTTCGAAATATGTCAGTCCCACCGGAAACGAAAACGACAACTTCCGGTTATTAGAAAAAAAACTGCATATTTTCAGTATTTTTCTTTCCCATAAATATTTTTTAAAGATGAAGTTTTCGAAATGATTTTTAGAAGTGTTATTTAGACTGCAAATGACTACAGTAACGGCAAATATCTTTGGAAAATTCACTTCCGGTCGCGTGATTTCCTGTCCTCAAAATGAATAGTTCTTATAGCTATATCTCTGAAACGGTAAGAGATGTAGACACCAAACTTTTAGGAGTATTATATCTTGACGTAAAGGCAAAAACATATAGGTTAAGATTGTCCGCTGTCACTTCCGGTCGTCACAGGAAGTGGTAAAAAAATCAGATATTTCAACTTTTCTTTTATGGATTGTTTTCTGCATCACATTATAGCGCTTTATTTGTAGTTTCAAAATATATCAGCTCCACCGGAAAAAAAACCCCGACAACTTCCGGTTATAAGAGAAAAACTAAATAATTTGAATAATTTTTTTCCAATATATATTTTTTATAGATAAAGTGTTTGCAACTGTTTTGGATATGTTATTCAGACTGCAAATGTCTACAGTAAAATCAACTATTTTTTTTAAAATTCACTTCCGGTTGCGTGTGATTTCCTGTCCTCATTTTGTCCTCAAAATGAGAAATTATTATAGCTTGATCTCTTAAACAGTAAGAGATTAAGACACCAAACTTTAACAAGTGGTATATCCTGATGAGTAAGCAATTCCATGGGGGATAAAATCGTCTGTCGTCACTTCCGGTCGTCACAGGAAGTGATCAAAGAAGTCCAAAAATTCAACTTTTCCTTATGGAAACTTTTTTTATCACACAATAGCATCTTATTTGTAGTTTTGAAAAAAGTCAGTAACACCGAAAACAAATAACACAACTTCCGGTTATAAGGGAAAAGCTTCATAATTTGAGTATTTTTCTTTCCGGTAAATATTTTTTATAGATGCAGTATTTGTAATGATTTTTGGATATGTTATTAAGACTGTTACTGTCTTAAGTAACGCCAACTATCTTTAAAAAATTCACTTCCGGTTGCGTGATTTCCTGTCCTCAAAATGAGAAGTTACCATAACTAGATCTCGTAAACGGTAAGACATTAAGACACCAAACTTTTACAAGTGGTAGATCTTGATGTGTAGGCAAAACTAGTCAGGAAAAGATTGTCCACCGTCACTTCCAGTTGTCACAGGAAGTGAACAAATGAATAAAAACTTTTCTTATGGAATCTTTCTTAGTAATACATTATTATAGCATCTTTTTTGTAGTTTTGAAATATGTCAGTCCTACTGGAAACAAAATGGACAACTTCCGCTTATGAAAGAAAAACTGCATAAATTTAGTATTATACTATACCATAAATATTTTTGATAAGAAGAACATTAGAAATGATTTTAGGACATGTTATTTAGACTGAAGTATCTAGAGTAACCTCAAATATCTTTTCAAAAATTTACTTCCAGTCACGTGATTATTGTCCTCAAAATGAGAAGATAATATTACGAGATCTCTTAAACTGTAACAGATCAAGACACTAAACTTTATGAATAAAACAACATGAAGATTGGGTAAAAAATATAGGGTAAAATGTGTACGCTGTCACTTCCGGTCGTTACAGGAAGTGATAAAAAATTGAAAATCATTTTTGTACATGTTATTAAGACTATAATTGTCTAAAGTAAAGTAAAGAATCGTGGTAAGTTATACCTCCGGCTGTTTGTTTTCCTGAAATCATTAAAAATATTTTCTGCCTTTTTAACATAGATAAAAGCTCATTCATGTAGATAAATAGAGGAGAACGGAAGACCTTCTTTGTTGCTGTAGCAACAAGAGTTTCTAGTTTTTAAACTAATTATGTAAGAGTCTTAAATTTAAAATTTGATACCCTACAATATTTCTAAAATATAATTTAATGTAATTGATAGAAAAACTAAAATAATTCATTTATTAGAACTTCAAAACTTCTTAACAGGACAATTGTAGAATCAATTGAAGAGAACCAAAGAAACATATTTAAAGAAACATCAGGTTTTAAAGAAAAATACAAAAAGTGACATTAATACATGTATAACGAGACGTCCAGTTAAATTAAGATGAAATAATCATATTTGTCCTTTTCATTCTGGTAATCCGGTCCGATTTATAGAAAAAAAATACTTCTAACGGCAAATAATTATGAATTGATCCAGCATAGTTTTTTGACCTATTTTGATTATGTTGAATCCGACAAAATATGCTGGCCTTCATGAAAACTGCGTTCAAAAAGGTCAAAATGGCGATTCTACATTGGACTATAAAAATTAGATCAAGATCGAATTTCCAACAACTGATTTGATTTAGCAACCCTCGAACTACAATGTTCACTCGCCTTAATGCTCGGGGAATATTGCTCTTTGGGTAGCTTAATTTTCATAATGTCCTCAAAACAGCAACTTTATTTATGAAGAGGCATTGGGCGACAGATAATAGGTAAAATGTCTTCAGAATTGTCAAAAATTATCTTAATAATAGAAGTATTGAAACAAAAATCTGTGTTATAAAAATCCTAAGTCATAAACAAAAATATCCTCCAACTATCATTGCATTTGAACATTATTTTATGAGTAAAAAAACAAACTGTAAATCTATTTTCTCGAATCAGAATTAAGCAGTTTGGGTATTTTACAAAATTCGAGTGTGTGAGACGTCATTTGATTTGTCATGTTGAGTTAATTAACACATTTCAAATTTAAACCACTAATTAACATATTTAAAATTTAAACGACTAAGTTTCCGAATCTAAGTGATAATATCACTGTTCTATTGTCACTTTACTCGAATTAGGTTAAAAAACTATGCTTGACCAAATAATAGTTATTTGCCGTTAGAAGTTATTTCCAGCCTTCTTTTTAAAAATCAGGACTAGACTTTGGTAAATTAGACTTGTAAACATGATACAAGATCAATATGATTTATTGCAAACACAAAGAGAAACTTATAAAGGGCAAATATATATAAATCCTCACTCATATGAAATTTGTCTTTAACTTTTATGATTTTTATGATTTTCCAGAGGAAATGAATTTTTATGCTGAATAAAAAAAAATCAATAATAGCATGGCTTGCAGGGCAAAATATGACAAAGAAGACACTTCAACTTGGCAAGTTTATATAGAAATGATAGACATTTGTGTCATTAAGAGTCATCTCTGTTCTCAGAGTATCAATATACCTTAATACTTTTGCTTGATTTTAATTAATTTGGATATGAAACAAGAAAATATATCTTACCAAGAATGTACGACATCTCTGTACTTTCGTCTTTTGGATAAGTAAGTAACAATTGAAATAACCGTCAAATTTACAAAAAGAATGCTACAACTAATGATGGCAAGCTTCCATTTGTTTATTCTGCAGTAATATTCGTTCACACAATCTTCACAGTCAAAAATGACTAAGCAGGGATCTGGTGCACATTCATTTATATCTGTACAATGGAAAATTATAGATGCCCAATTTTCATATTTATTAAAAAAAAAAACCATAATGTTTCGTTTGAAGAACCCTTAAATATCTATTTTCAATATATTTTTCTGCGGATTTTTTTTCCAATTAATTTTTTTTCGTTTTGATTTGGTATGTGAGGTTGCGTTTTTAATATTCATACCTATGTCATATATTGTCCCAGTATACCCCGCTCGACAAGAACATGTGAAGCGGTTAATGAGATTGTTACAGGTACCCGAATTCAAACACGGGTTACTGGCACACTCATTATTATCTGGAAACAGAACAAAACATTTTAAATCTTAAAAAATGATGTGATTCCCCACAAATCTTTAAAAGACATAAGACAAACAAACAGTGTTTGAAAAAAGTAAAAAAAGATAACCTATTTCACAGATGGAGCCGGTAAAACCCGGAACACATGAGCACCGAAACTGATTAATCTCATCAATTCATGATCCAATGTTCTGACAAGGAGAGCTGGCAAATTCGTCAATGTCTGTTTGAAGTATAAGAAAGCCTGGTCAGCTGACAAATATAAATATCTATATTCTTTATTACTAAAAGAGAAGTAGCTACCTGTATGACATACTGTGCTGGTAAACCCTGGTGCATAGGAACATTTGATAAGACCGGTACACGAACCAGTGTTTTGACACGGATCACTTTGGCATTTGTTCATCTTCTACATGTAATAATGGGGTTACTTCCTTATTTAGAATCTTAGAAATGGAATGTCACTTCTGAATCTGAAATAAAGTATTGAAAAATTAAACACTTTTAATGAATATAATGCCTCGGCAATAATCTAAATAATCAAGTATTTTATACTTACAAAACTCTAGGCTGGATATCAGGTTTACGGACGTCAATGAAACTGGACAACCTATATGATACAGTTAACAATAAAAGTTTGCACGTAAGTATTTGTAATCAGTTTGCTTGATTTCAATTAATTTGAATACGAAACATGAAAAAATGTCTTACCATGAATGGTCAACATCTCTGTACTTTCGTCTTTTTGATAGGTAAATGACAATAGAAATAACAGTCAGATTAACAAAGAGCATACTACAGATAATGATGGCAAGCTTCCGTTTGTTTATTCTGCAGTAATTCTCATTCACACGATCTTCACAATCAAAAACAACTAAACAGGGATCTGGTGCACATTCATTTATATCTGTACAATGGAAAAATATAGATGCCCAATTTTCATATTTATTAAAAAACCCATAATATTTCGATTGAAAAACCCTTAAATATCTATTTTCAATATATTTTTCTGCGGATTTTTTTTCCAATTAAATTTTTTTTGATTTGGTATGTAAGGTTGCGTTTTCAATATACATACCTATGTCACATATTTTCCCTGTAAACCCTGCTCGACAAGAACAGGTGAAGTGGTTAATGAGATCGTTACAGGTACCCGAATTCAAACACGGGTTACTGGCACACTCATTGATATCTGGAAACATAACAAAACATTTTAAATCTTAAAAAAATGATATGATTCCCCACAAATCTTCAAA